GGGCATCAAAAGTGGTCCAAATTTGTGAAACCCAACCTTCATCTGACTGTTGCAACACTCTGACAAGTCCTTTACAAAAGCCAAGTACGCCATTTAAATTGCTGAAATTTGCCCTATCTAATTATTAGTGATTGCTTATGGAAAATGTTTGGTGCTACGAGAACGATATCGTCAGCAAAGCGGAGATGGTTTATGCCTGATAATCATTTTTTGAGCCACGCATGTCAGTGGTCTGTCAAAAAGGGCTGACTTATAGAGCCCGATACACGTGTATCGATCTTGTAATCTCGTCAGTCGGGCAGTTACCTTTTCTCGTCTTTTGCCAATCCTATGTGGGTGCTCCAGTCCCAACAATGAGAATTAGCGACGACGGGCGTTTTACACTCTATGTCCAATGAAGTTATCACCGCACACAGAGTGCCGTGCATTCGATTGCTCTGACTAACTCTTAGTGTGGGGACTGTAGTACTCACACAGGATTAGCAAAAGACGAGAAAGGATAACTGCCCGACTGATGAGGCCGCGAAGTCGAAACACGTGTATTGGCTCTATAAGTCAGCCCTTTTCAACAGACCACATGACATGCGTGGCTCAAAAATGACTATTTGGCACGTTGAAGTACATACCGTTGAACGATAGTGATGTCAAATATTAGAGAGATATAATGCTCTAATTTTTTTAGCTAGCACTCAAGTGAAACTACTTTACAGTCTTGATACTTAAGCGACTGTGATATGTAAAAAGTATTAGGTCGCGGAAAGTATCAGATTTTTCATAATTTTTAGAGGGTTTTAGGGAACTTTTTCCTCGAAGTTTATAGATAATTTTTGAAAGCAATAATAATCATTCTTCAAAAGACTACCATTATTCACGACTTTTTGCCAACGATCTGCAGGCTTCCGGATCTGCTTAAAATTGCCAATGCTTCGAGCTTTGAGTCAAAAAACTCTTGACATGTCTGTTCAACTTGATCAAATGTCTTGAATCGGCGTCCGCGAAAGAGCTGTCCCCTGAACGAAAATGCGGACCATGATTCCTAAGATATATAATAAATTTCCAATAACCGACACTGTGTGAAACAAACATAAAATTCGTATTTTTCATGGGTGTTAAGGAACTTTTTAACTCAACTTAGTATATTACTGTGTGCAAGTTCGTACTGTGTAAAGAACGAATAACGATGTAGTAAGAATGAGTGTGCAGCAGAATGCACTAAAAAATTATATTCAGATATGGGCTCAGTACGAAAGTTTCTTCAGCGAATTGCGCGAACCGGAGGAGGTGCTAGGGGTAGAGATACGGGCGATTTATAAACAGAGTGTTTGGATTTCCGTTACAAGAATTGTCACTGCCATCAAATCGAATTTTTTCCGTGGTACGATATTCAAGCTTGATCTTAAAGTCATCATTCTAGAAGACTTGCTCCTCATACTTTTTGTGGGGCCCAAGTTTCGTTTTAGTGGAAGAATAGTGGCACAGCATCATGTATTTAACATCTCCATTGACAATTCTCCCTCATTACTTTTACAATTACTTGCAGTTTTATTCGTCTTTTTGTGAAGATAATAAGAAAAGCTCAGTTAACCAGAAAAATGTCCTGCAGATCATAAGGCGTTGTATGAGGAAGCACAATCATACCGTTGTTTCAAAAAGGACAAAACGGCTTTTTTATTTTCGTATTGCAAGAGAGCTGGTAAATGGCGCATATAATTTACCATTCCTGGTGCTTAACCATCCGTACTCTTGCCTGTCCACACTGTATAATGTTGCTGTAATGGTAATTAGAGCCTTTTAATGGTGCTGAATCGTACATAACATTCCGCATTATCGATATTGCCACGAGTGACTTTAGCGTAGCAGTTGAAAGAGCTAAATGTGCTTATCAATCTTGAAGCGGCCAATAAAAGACCGGCCTCATTTGCTAGACAGATGCTTTCTATAGAAGTGTACGTAATTATTCAAAAGCTTGGATTTCTGGCTACAGCTCTATGTCGCTGCTTTTCAAAACGATCTCTTCATAAAGCTGTAGCATCCTAAGTGAAAATTATGTTTCATACCCGTTCGCCATCATTTTTATCAGGCGTATAATTCGTTGCAAGCTCAAAAAACACATCAACATGCGGAGGAACTTTTCTAGTATCTGAGCCAATCGTTTTATCCGGAGTTTTTTTCAAAGCGCAAAGGAAAGTTCTCAGTTTGATAAGTTGCATCACACATATTCAACGCCCAGGGCATCTATCAACGAGCCCTGTTTTGGCCCCATATAATGCCGATAAACAAGGTTGCCGAAAATGTAAAACTCGATCTTGTTTTTGCCGCTAAAGATAATTCCAAAAAAAGTGCAGCGATGAAATCATCAAAACTTACGCTATCGAATGATTATTGATAGTCTAGAAAAGAGCTCTGTTTGGTGAGGCGTGAAGCTTAAATCTCTTCCTTTTTTCTGCAGCTCTAACAAAACAGCTTTTCTAAAAGCAGACACATTTTCTGAATTTGGAAACCTGTTCTATCGAATGACCGCTAGCACTGTAAGGAAAAGGCTTTCTTTAGCAAGATATACGCAAGATATGAAAACAGAGCCGTTATCGTGTGAAGTATAATTTCATTCTGGTTTTACAGCGTCATAAAGCAGCTCAAGTAATCAAACTTATTATAATCTAATATCTTGCTCACATCGATTGGATTGCGAATTCCATGCAGAAGGCGCAACATATGGCTAATTATCACGGAAAAGCTTTTCCGTTGACATGGTAACATCGAAAAAAAGCCAAAAAATCTCTGAAGTGGTAATAATGTCGTTAAACACTCGTCGAAGTACATCACATCGCAAACAACAAAAGAGAATCGGAATATTGGATGGAATGGAGCCGACTGTACTCAGCTACTTCCGCACCAAGCACCTCATTTCGGTCGCTCTACCAAATTCAGTTTTTACCTCAAGATGCCATTGTTTGGAATCACAAATCACACTCTACACATGCCCATAAGCGCCTTTACCAGACCATGTGTGACAGGTTGTGAAAAAGTTTTGGGAAAATGATTGTTACTTTTTTGGGTGTGTGCAATTTTTTGTGTTTTCGGACTCATTTGAAAGCCCATCTTTTCCCGCGTTGATTGACTTACAATTTATCTACTCACTTCAAGATGGTGTTGACAAGCTATCAAAATAGGTTGTTGATGATGCACGAATGGCTGCTGGGTTCAAATGCAACGGTGGCAAGTGAACGCATCAATCTGACTTCGACACAAGACAGCTGGAAAAAGTACGGTGTACTGATGGTTCAGAAAGTTTCGACAAAGGTGAAGAAAGTTTGAAAGATCAGCCACATAAAAAGAAGTTGATCGTTAAGCTGTGCATGAAGCGATTGAAGTTAATTCTTTTTTGACAGCTCGGTCATTCATTTCTTCAACAGCAAGGAATCGAAATTTTATGCTCGTGAAATCGATCTTTTGCAGGAAAAGTGGCAAGAAGTGATTGAAGCTGAAGGCGAGTACTTTGAGTATCAGTTTTGTCTTTGCTCAGGTGTAATAGGTGCATAAATAAATGTTTTACGAGCATTTTCTTGGAGTTTTTTTTCCTAACCTAATAGATTGTCTACCGAGCAACGAAAGTGAAGACACTGCATTAGTTTGTGAACATCAGCCCATTTCGAACAGTACATGGGAAGTGCAACACATAACGGGCAATAATGACCGGAATCTTTTCTTTTTGCGTGGTGGTGTCGGGCACAACAAATTGAGTAGCCATTGCGGAAAATTTATTAAACACAACTACCGCTTTTTTATTCACAAGTGCCCATTATTACCAAAGTAAGTCCTTTCACCAGATAACTTATGGATTTTCATTACCTTGTGCAGCACAGATTTTAGTTCATATTGGGTCTCGTCCATGGGAAAGCCTTCCCAATACGGTGTAGTAGAAGAAATATTATGAAGAAGGAGCTTGCTTTCAAAGAGAATGTGTGACTTAAACATTGCACTATCCCACAATTTCTTTCGCTTTCGACACCATAGTTGGTTCATTTTTATTATTCAGAGATATCTATTGATCAACGATATAATCTCCTACATGATCAATTATATGCAGTCATTGACTGGGCAAAGAGTGGATGACATTCCCTTTGGAACAATGAGTTTGGCGATCAAGAAGTCGGTGAAGCCGCTTTTGCCATTGCTGAAGTCTACTAAAACTTCTCGGCAGATGCTACTTTACACTCAGAAAATGTAATAATTCGAAGGAGCAATATCAGAGTTATACAGTGGATGTGGTACCTTGGTGCAGCCCATTTTCTATGAAATATGACGAGTCGACTCGCAATGCATCGGATCGAGCCTTGCCCTTGAGAAGAGCAACACTGAGTAGATTGAGATGCTTCCATCGCACTGCTACGGCCAACCTCTAGAGCTATTTTCTATAGAGTCTGCACTGATGGTTTGTTTGCTGTCGACCACTCCCAGAAACACAATGCTCTTCCATGCCCAGAAAACCGACAGCATAATCTTTAGAGCATGGAATTTGTTCTTTGGTTAAACCGGAAAATGTTTGTTGCCAGGCAGTCAGTAGACGTGGCACGTGCTGTTCTCGTAGTAAGCCCAGAACTAATCTCCAGTGATGATCGACTTGAAATAGCCTTGCCTGTACGGTGGCAACAGACGATTTCGCCGATGCTCACGCGTGCAATGTGGTCGTGTCCGTCAATGCATGGGGTATCAATTAGGACATCATTTTGCGATAACCCAATTCATTGAAATGGCGTAAATAGTTTTACGGCAGCATCCAAGTGCCTGCTAAAACATTCTCCAACATGTCACATCATTTTGGCAATAATCCGATCTTAGACAGAGAATACCGTGCCAACAATGTGAGAGAAAGTAAAGGATAACTCAATAGCGTAACCAGCAAAGAGACTTGAAAATCAGAATTCCTTTATTCGACGGCGTAATGTGATGTCACGATGTTACAATAAACCCATTAATGTAGAGTGGTGCGCAAAAACATCTGCGTCAGCCGGGATTTGAACCCAGATCTCACTCTTTCCGGGAGCGTGTGCTGAACCGTTACATCACAGACTTGGAAATGTTTTTGATCAGACAGACGAGCCATCCCAGGGAGATTTTGGCATCAGTTCCAACAAGCAGGTCGCTACTTTATGGTTTTCGGGAGGTATGAATAGCTCCGTGAATTGTATGGAATGACACGATATCAAATCAAACGATAAACACCATTAATCTGTATATGTGTAATAAACACCATAAATCTGTCTATGTGGAGCAACCTCATTGAATGTTAACACTGAATGATCTTCGTACACTGCAATCGCACTTCAGTGGCACTCCGTCCAAACGACGAACCTTCAATGATGTTCTGTCTCTCGTAGCAATATAGTTTTGAAGAAATTGAAATTTCACTATTTTAGTAGCAATAAATCCGTTACGAAGTCAAAACAATGGGCTAACTGTTCCAAAGGCAGAATGTAATCATTTTTCCCATAGTAGAACGCAGTATATGGGCGTTTTCAGGAATAAAGCTTGGTACCAAAATCTCCACTTTTCAAGCTGTCGAATAACGATAAAATGAAAAATAAACATATATAAGAAAATGATCAACAACACTTGGTAACATGCCCCTCTGTGTAACGATGTGGTTTTCTCGCTGGAACAATGCGATCATAAAGGCATATTGTGTTACATTTGTTAAATAAGCTTTCAAAGTAATCTTTCTAGTAATAATAGGCTAATAAATGAATGTGATGCCTTCTTAACACCTCATTTTATTAAGTAAATCTCCTTGTTCCACCGGAAGCTCGCCAATGGCACTTACCCGGCACATCACGGAACAAGTCATTAGCGCATAAAATATCATCCATTTGATCTCTAACGTGCTAACGTTGCTTGATGTAGTCGAACCCATAGCCTTTCCCTCAGTTGTTCATCAACGACGAGCGCTTTATTTTTTGTAGTTATATAAGTTGACATCTTGATTATTACCCGCAGTGAACCACCTGAACAAAAATAAATGTTTATGCCAGATAATCATTTTTGAGCCACGCATGTCATGTGGTCTGTAATAAAGTTATATATATAGATATATATATATATGTATGCATATATATGCATATATATGTATATATATGAATATACATATATATACATATATATATATATATATATATATATATGTATACATCTTCGGTCTTAAGGAACACTCGGAATGTTTATGTTTTATCAGATCACCCCAAAACGTTAACATCAATATTCATTGTTTCTACAAAATCTTCACTGTGTGGTCTGACACGAATCCTTTAAATTACCTCTGTCACAGCAGTGTCATGATGTTATAATTTCAGATATGCATATATATATATATATATATATATATATATATATATATATGGAAACTCATGCAGAGCAGTGGTTAGAGGTGCTGTGCGTCGCACACAAGGTTAAAGGTTCGCTCTGTGCTCATGGCTCACCAAGCCACTATATCACCGGGGTCGCTAGATTGGTAACAGACTGATCCCTAACTTAGAACTATGCGTAAATATGTATTTGTTATCTCAAATAAATAGTTTAGCGCATATATATGGATATCAGTATATATATGCATATATATACATATATTCAAGGAAATTGAATGATATTCAGAGCTCTGGACCTTTGGCGGGAGTTGAACCTCCGCTTCAGCCATATCGGGCACGTGTTACCACTACTATACCACCGAGGCCACCGTTCTGCTAGCAGTCTCATATAAAAGATCAATGCTACATGAGCGATAAGATAAAGAATTCTGGTAATTATAAACATCTGATAGCTGTCCGCTTGGCTGAGTTCCACACCGATATGTGCTTACCTGACCAACTCGTAGATGGCTACTTGCTGACAGCTTCAATGCCTTATGTCGAAAAAAGAGTGTTTGCTTTGTGTTTCTTAACAGGTGACTCTGGATGTTCTCTGTTTTATAGACGAATACACTTGCGGATGACAGCTGCATCGCTTTATAGCAATCACCTCGGCAATCAAATGCTTTCAACATGGCCATTGTTTCCATTCTCCACTTCACTTTCTCGACTTATTTTCGTTAAAGGAAAACAGGTATTGATCACAGGCGATTTTTATCATCATGTATTTCATGTTGGCTATCACCACACATCTATCGTCGTCAATTGCCTTTGAAAAAAACGAGCTAAATCTCTGTACATCTTTATCGTACAGTGAACTTCTAGGTAACCTTGCTTGATTAATACGACTAACTTCACACATTAGCTATGATGTATTCTGTTCTTAGATATGGATAGCTCAATAACCGAATATTTTCTCAGATTTGAAGCCTTATCTAGACAATATAAACCAAAACTAGAATCTAATTTGTTTGTGTTTCTTCTGCAGGTTGTGAGTAGCCAGCAATTTATTTTGATTTTTTAGAACAAGAACACCACAAGATATTCATAAGAGGTATAAAAAAGTAAAAGGAGTCATAAATCACATAGGCCTAACTGCGGCGATGCTATGAATGAAGGAACGTTACCAAGACAAAAAATGCCCAACATGAAGTTTTGCTTTTTTAAAAGAAAATCTTAGCCTTTGAACAAGTTTGTCAGTGACTCCATGAACTGAATTAGCGATGTAGACGAAGTTTTCAAAGTGCCGAGAGTATAGAAGATTTAGGCATTCTTTATGGCGAGATACATATGAATAGAAAATTTTAAAAAGACCGATCCACTTATAAATAATCTAGCACTATACGATAATCATTAGAAGCCTGCTGATAATTAATCTTCTTCAAAACTTGCAAACCACGAGAAAGTTAACCTTGTCGAAGATCACCACGTGAACGTGGAGTTCTAAATCTGTGTGGCATTGCGACTATTTAAAGTCTTACTTATTGTAAAATTCGTATTGAGTTGAAATCAGCTCATTTGGTCCACAGTCAAATTATGATTGTTGATTTTATTTCCTTATTTTCGTTAGAGAAACGACGCGCTTTCGTTGTGTTTTTCCCACTCATATTCTCTTTTTCTATGCATTTTACCAGCAATTTCGACATTTTTGGTATCATCGTGTATTCTGAGTATTCTATGTATTCCCGTTTGTTTTTGAATATTTCGAACACCTATGTGGCGTGAACGAAAGCTGATTCACTGCACAAGTAAGTTGCTGATACCACTATGTAGCCGGTTTCACGGCATATAACTAAAGTTTGCTTGCATGTGCTTGATACGAAGAAGATTATGCTATTTATTAGACATCTTCCATGCCTTTTTGACATTTAAGTAGTTCACAAGAGATAGTCCGAAGATACACTCTCCTCCCACAGATTTACCACCTGAGAGGTGTTCCTGAGTGACGTGGTGTGAAGCAGGTGATTGGCTATCCTCCCAACAGGGTCTCTGTTGGTGAGAAGAATTTCGACGTTTCCATTCGCAAGCCTAGCTAGGATCAAGCCAATACTAGGAGCCACCACCGTATTGATATCAACTAGTCACAATGTGGCTTGTCTCTCTCTGATTCACAAGAACCGACAGCTGCCTATTGTGATGGCGTCAGAGAAAGGCTTCGGATGGGATGCTCTTGGGAGCCCAACGAGCAGCAACGCCCAAGCCAACAGAACTTCTGTTTCGCTACTCCGCACGCTAACTGATCTTTCATATGGCCTGGGGCGGTGTCACCACCACTGCTGTTTCTGTGTGCCATCATTAAGTTTTTCATTATCGGACAGTCATAGGGAACTATTAACATCGGAATAATGGCCATTAACAAATGCAAAAGCCCGTAAATTTATTGTTTTTTTTTCTTGCAGTCACTTTTGAAATATCAAAGGAACTGAACAAAGAAAATTTTGCTCAGGAACACCCTATGATGTTTCCAATGTATGGGCAATGTCTATTACTGCTACGCTTGCTTTTGATTTGCTTTTTAAACTTGACATTTTGGAGCATTTTTTCAACTTTTCAAGGGTTGAATTTCAAACCTTATTTAAATTAAAGCAACACTTCAGAAGGCGTACAGGTACTAATTCATAAACTGATATTTATCCTTGGCATGAATAATTAACACTCTCTTCATAGATTCTTCAGTTTGAACGAGGGTTGACAATTGAATCTTATTCGGCCATCGCTGCGACTTTCTCGTCTTCCTCGGGGCCGGTAGTTCGAGTCGGTTATTCACGGTACTTCGACCTTGAGTGATGATCCTCTAGTCGCCTCAATCAAATCATCTCCAGTGGAGGAAGCCCCAAATAGAGTACTCACTCGGTGATCTTCTTTTATCTCCGACTTTTTGTCCCGTGTAGAGCGATCACATAGAAAATAATGCGAGCGATCACTAGAAATAATGCCATCAGCGGCTTTAAGAAGAGTGTGAAGGTCGACGTCCAAAGAGAACGTGATGGTGCCATTGGTGCAAAGCAGAAGCATCACCCTATGGATTGCGGAGAAAGTGATAGTATGGTTTGTTCCTAATAACTGGAGACACTACGGAAAGCGAAAACATGAAGACGGCTCATCACTGTTACAAACGAAAGAACGGCCTGTGATTATTTCATCACATTTTTGATGATCTGGTCTCTAAAGGAATCTCAGAAAACGAATAGATGACCACTTTTAACTTCAATTCAAATATGCCAAATAGTCATTTTTGAGCCACGCATGTCATGTGGTCTGTTAAAAAGGGCTGACTTATAGAGCCCAAAGCACGTGTTTCAACCTTGCAGTCTCGCCAGTCGTGCAGTTACCCAGTTACCCTTTTTCGTCTTTTGCCAATCCTTTGTGAGTGCTCCAGTCCCCACACATCTAATTCGGATAATCTCAGCTCGTAAAGAATTTCATTGGTTGCAATGGAGTTACTGGGGTCTGCAAAGTTATTGGGGTTTAGTTATAGGAAAAGATTTTCTAGCTCTGTCACAATGACATTCTAATTTTTGAAGTATATAGAACACTCTTTTTTTTTACTTTAATGCTTGAGCTTGTATTCCAGACAAGGAAACAAATGAACAGTCGGATTTTGACCCCTGAGGACAGGATGATGTTCTCTATTGTATTGCTTATGTTTGCGACTGCTGTCCCTGCATGGAAGAA